TGTCACAAATCTTGGCAATTCAAACAGAACAAATGTATAAAAGCATACGCAGAGGTTACTTTCGTTAGAAGGTCTCATATTTTAGGCCCCTTTCACACGGGCGATAAGGTCTGCCTGTCAGTTTTTCAGATGGACCTGATTGTATGGTCAATGTATTCCTATGGACCAGTGGGTGTAAACAGACACCCGCCTACCTCCAATCGGATCCACTCCACTAAAAAAAAAAAAAAAAATGGGGAACCGTCCCCCTCCATCTGTTTACACCCGCCTACCTCCAATTGGATCCAGTCCACTAAAAAAAAAAAAAAAAATGAAGGGGAACCATCCCCCTCCATCTGGGAGGATTGGATCGGACACCACTGTCCGTTTACACCAAGCCACCCATAGAGCAGAGTGGGCTCTGTCTGTGTCCACTCTGCAGAAATCGAACAGACCTGTCATCCACTTGCTCTGCCCTGATCAGCGGACAGATCCCCTGCTGAGCAAATTGGATTCCACTGTGAAGGAGATTAAGGGGGGATATGAGCTCCATGTATAATATGTATATGTAAGGGGGGTTATGATCTCCATGTATAATACATAAGGGGGATATGATCTCCATGTATAATACATAAGTGGGGATATGATCTCCATGTATATACATAAGGGGGGACATACATAAGGGGGGATATGATCTCCATGTATAATACATAAGGGGGGATATGATCTCCATGTATAAAGGGGGGGTACATAACATAAGGGGGGATATGATCTCCATGTATAATACATAAGGGGGGATATGATCTCCATGTATAATACATAAGGGGGGATATGATCTCCATGTATAATACATAAGGGGGGATACGATCTCTCCATGTATAATACATAAGGGGGGATATGATCTCCATGTATAATACATAAGGGGGGATATGATCTCCATGTATAATACATAAGGGGGGATATGATCTCCATGTATAATACATAAGGGGGGATATGATCTCCATGTATAATACATAAGGGGGGATATGATCTCCATGTATAATACATAAGGGGGGATATGATCTCCATGTATAATACATAAGGGGGGATATGATCTCCATGTATAAATACATCAGTGGTTCATATACTGAACTCGGTGTAGAGCTATTCACCCTGAGGTCATCACAGAGGACAAGGGGGCACTCTTTATGTCTGAAGGAAAAGAGATTTAATCTCCAAATATGGAAAGACTTCTTCACAGTGAGAGCTGTGAAAATGTGGAATAGACTCCCTCAAGAGTTGGTTCTGGCCAGCTCAGTGGATTGCTGTAGGAAAGTCCTGGATTCTTTCTTGGATACACAGAATATAACTGGATATAACATTTATAGGGAAAGTTGATCCAGGAAATATCCGATTGCCTCTCGGGGGATCAGGAAGGAATTTTTTCCCCAGCAGGAGCAAATTGGATCATGCTTTGCTGTTTTTTTTTTGCCTTCCTCTGGATTAATTGTGGGTGTAGGATTATAACTTTTTTTTTTAAAAGTTGAACTGGATGGACTTTTGTCTTTTTTCAGCCAGACTAACTATGTAACTATGTGAAAGGTGCCTAATAGTGCCCATTCATACCTAAGGGTTTGAAAAAAAGCACATGAGCTCCTTTGGGGGTATATTTAGTCCCTGAAGACTTCAACGGGATCACCTGGAAAATGTTTGAAAAGGTGCACAACGCATGTTTTTGTGCAATTTCTTGCCTCTGCCTCTAGTACCTAGCTTTCCATTGACTAAAACAAAAAAACTGACTCTGGAATTTGGATGAAAAATAAATGTGCATTAAAAAAAATGCTCTAAAAGTGCTTGAAGAAGCTCAAGCGTGAACCTAGCCTAAGGTTGAATTTACAAACTATTTCAATTGGTTTTCTCTGAAGGTAACCTCTGCTGGCATATTTTTTATTCATATGATGACTCTGAATTGCTTTAGGACAGGTTTGCTGTAAATGTAGTGTAATGGGACATGATGGAGCAGACGTTACATCAGGATGCAGCTTAGTTTGGAGTGACCTACTGCTCCACATTTGGTGATGGGTGAGACGTGGTCATGTAGGTAGCCCACGAAAACTATCCTTCTAGATTACCTCTTAAGGCGATTTCCAACAAAAACTGTAGTTCTCTACTGGCCTAGGAACCCCCCCCCCCCCCACCTCTGCTATAGAAACAGAGATGTTCTGCAAAGCCCCATTCATAAACAACTTCAGGACCCCTCCACCCCACCCTCAATACCCTGATCTCTGCAGTGCCTAGCAGACTTAGGCTTGGCCATAATCCATACATGTAGACCCACACTGAAAAAAAAACTCAGGGTGGCACTTGAAATTCCTATGTGTCCCAGTTTGATGGCTTACACTGAGGGTTCAGGTTGGGGAGAGCTTTTCAGGCTCAATGCATGCAATATAAGGGAAACCCCCCCCCCCCCAAAAAAAAAACAGAGTTCCGCACACCTTCAGGACCGGACAGGTTAGTAGAAGCAACCTTGGCCCTAGCCTGAGGCTGCTTCTACTATAGTGACTGTCCGGTACTGATGGAGTGTGGCACTTGAGGTTGTTTCTTTCCATAAACCCATACATGGATTCCCCCATAAAATGATTACAATTTATGACTGCTCTGCATTACCGGATTTTAGCAGCAGGGTGCTTCTGCACTAGCCCGGAGTGTGTGATGGCGAGGATCTTCTACATTAATGCTCAGCAAGAGCACATAGAAAACTTTCCAGTTTTCCTAGAAATTCACCTTAAGACAAAGTGTAATATCCTTTATGTCCCTTTACCCTGACCTAACCCACCCTCCCCTTCCACAGATGCATACTTGTCCCAAAATGACGGCCGCTGCCTTTGGCATTCGTTTACATCCAGCACAAGTCTCACAGTCCTGACCACGCCTGCACATTACATCTCTATAGATGTCCATGGGGCCAGATCTCACTGTCCTGGCCACGCCTGCACATTCCAGCCCTATAGATGTCCATGGGGCCAGATCTCATTATCCTGGCTATGCCTGCACATTCCAGCCCTACAGATGTCCATGGGGGCCAGATCTCACAGTGCTGACCACGCCTGCACATTACATCTCTATAGATGTCCATGGGGCCAGATCTCACTGTCCTGGCCACGCCTGCACATTCCAGCCCTACAGATGTCCATGGGGCCAGATCTCACAGTGCTGACCACGCCTGCACATTACATCTCTATAGATGTCCATGGGGCCAGATCTCACTGTCCTGGCCACGCCTGCACATTCCAGCCCTACAGATGTCCATGGGGCCAGATCTCATTGTCCTGGCTATGCCTGCACATTACAGCCCTATAGACGTCCATGGGGCCAGATCTCACTGTCCTGGCCATGTCTGTACATTCCAGCCCTATAGATGTCCATGGGGCCAGATCTCACTGTCCTGGCCACGTCTGCACATTCCAGCTCTATAGACTTCCATGGGGCCAGACCTCACTGTCCTGGCCACGTCTGCACATTACAGCTCTACAGACATCCATGGGGCCAGATCTAACTGTCCTGGCCATGTTCGATCATTACCAGCCCTATAGAAGTTCATGGGGCCAGCTCCCTTCATCCCATAGAAGTCTATTAGGCAGTAATGCACAGGCGCGGGCCAGTACAGTAAAGACTTTAACTGCTAGATGTAAACAAACACGGCACGGCAAGTACCCATTTATGGAGGGGGAAGGTGGGTCAGGTCAGGGCAAAGGAGCAAAGACAGCACTTATTTCTTCTTAAAGTGCACTTCACCTTCAAGTATGTCATTAAGGCACATGGCAGCTAGTGTTATCCTTAGTATTATGAGAGTACAACCTATCAATTCTCTAACTCAGCCTACAATGTGTGTCTAGGCCAAGTAGTTGTGTTCAGTTTAGCTCGCGATATCACCATGTTTCTACAGGTACATTTTTTTGGATAGATTTCTTGGTTTCAGGTAGATTGGAGCGTGGTTTAATCAACCTCTATCTACACCACAACCACACCAGTGGCAGGCCAAGCTGGCTTTTCGGCTGAGCTACTGTTGTTACTGTCCTGCAGCATCTCTATACATTCCTATCCATCGGATCCAGGAAAAGGTACAGTGCATGGAATTACTGCACTAGGTGCCCTCTAACAGCTTTTATCACTGACCTGTACAGGAATATTATCCTCCATCAACACCATGGTCACCACAGTGATAGGCCAAGCCTAGCTTTCAGCTGAGCCACTGTTTCCATTGGCCTGAAAGATATCCATACATGCCTTTGGAGGACCCCCGAGAGGGTTCAGTGCATGCAAATACTGTACTGTGTGCTCTCTAACAGACACTACATTGGAATATATGGAGATATAGTAAAGTGAACGTCAAGTGGGTAGAGAAAGGAAAGGGGTTATGGGGAGATCTCATCAAGGTCCCACACAGTAGTAAAGGCAGAGGATCAAACTTCCTCCATTTCTTCCAAAACAGGAAAAATAATTTAGGATGGAAAGGCTCTTTAATCTAGTAAACTTAGTAGTCAACTTTCCTTTCCTCCAAAAAAAGAAGTGGCTTTGGTTTTGGCCCCTACAAACCAGCTTCCTAAATACTGCTTGATGACAAATCATGTGAAGACTTTCAGTTCTCCCATGAAGCCCATAGAGAGTGCAGTGACCAGCCTGATGCTCAGTATTCTTCATGAAACACGATCATAATGGTGTGAAGACAAGGACGGTGATGAACCTTTCTTTGGCCCAAGCAATGAAAAAGCAATCCCTACCTGAAGGTATACAAACCACTCTTACAGGTTAGTGCAATGGCTTGCAGTGGTTTGGATGGGTGTTATCAAAAAAAAGTAATGCGCAAAAGTGATGAGTAGACCTCTGACTGTCTGCAGCCATCAGGTAGGTTTTGCTTGATCCAGTGATCTCTGCAGCAAGTCACATGACTGAGTCTCTCTCTCTAAGCCAACGAGAGTCTCTGGGTGTGTCTGTCACCTCCTTGAAATCAGAGTCTGTTCTCGGCAGTGAAAGGGGCCTGGTCATATTAGCCGTTCCTCAGGAGGAAGTTTCAAGGCACTGTTGGGTGGTATCCTGGACCCGGTCTGCTCTTCATTGCTTGGCCTGTACGTCCCCTCTGTCTGCCGTTTCTCCTTTACTTTCAAGAGGATGAAGATGAGAATTCCGATTAAGATAAGACCACCCACAACCGATGGGACAATAATGGCTGCCAGTCGCTCGGATTCCTGTAAAAATGAAAGTAAAGAAAATAATCCAAAAACAGGTCAACCTAAAAAATATGGCAACTGTGCCAAGCTCAGTTCTCTCAAACAACCTCAAGGTCAGTCTTAACCACTTTCCATCCTTAGGCCGTTTTTTTAACAGCAGGCGATTCCCTATCAGGTAAAAGTGATCCGAGAGGCTTTACAGGCCACTAGTAAGCCCAGTAAGAATGCGACCGGCTGCATCGGCAACTGATGTTGTACCTCCCACTGTGTGACGCCAGAAACCAGCAGTGATGAGGATTTTGACACTTCCGGTTTCATGTAAAGAAGCCATTACCGGCTTATGAAAGCATCAGATCACACTGGTATTGGATTGATCAGAAGCTATGGAGGCCGGAGGAGAGATCTGGGGTCTAATAAACCCCAGTTCTCTCCAAAAAGGGATCTGTCACAGCCCATGCTATCACATGGGATCTTGTTCATCCCTTTTGATAGCAATAAAGTTGATTAAAAAAAGTAAACGGTGATCGCACCACACACGTGAGGCATCGCCACAAACATCAGAGCAAGACTAATAATTCTATCACCAGACCTCCTGTGTAAATCTAAACCTGGTAACCTTTCGAGGCTTTTAATGTGTCGCCTATGGTGATTTTTTAGGTAACATCAGGGCTTTTTTTCAGCAGGGATGCAGTTCTGGCACCTTTTGCACTGAATGTATGTAATAGCATGAGGTACTGGGGTGTACTGGAGAGTCTACTGATGCTGGCTGCGGGTGTGTTATATTGTTGCTGGGGAGTCTAATGTTGCTGGGAGGGATCTATTATTGACAGAGCAGTCTATTTTTGCTAGCTGCTGGAGGGTCTTTAGATGCTGGGAGATCTATTGGTGCTGACAGGGGTCTATTGTTGTTGAGGTGGATTTATTGTCACTGGGTGGGTTCTATTGTTGCATAGGAATCTACTGTTGCTGGGGGGATCTATTGTTGCTGGGGGTCTATTGTTGCTGGGGGAATCTATTGTTGCTGGGGGTCTATTGTTGCTGGGGAGGGGAGTCTGTTGTTGCTGGCTGTAGGGGATATTTGACTACATTTCCTATTATCATTAAAAAATTCTATAAAAATTACTTAGCACCACAAAATACTTGGTTCTGTGTTCTCTAAAAGGGGCTGTACTGGGAGGTGGATGGGGGGGGGGGACCAAGGAACAGTGCTCAGAGGTAAGTAGGGGTGAAGACAAGGAGTAACTCACAAAGGGGGAGTGCCTATTCTCTGAGAAAAAAACCCAGGGTACCGTAGTTTGGTGTCATTCAAAAACCCAGGGTAGGGGAGTTTGGTGCCATTCAAAAACCCAAGGTACCGGAGTTTGGTGCCATTCAAAAACCCAGGGTAGGGGAGTTTGGTGCCATTCAAAGACCCAGGGTAGGGGAGTTTGGTGCCATTCAAAAACCCAGGGTAGGGGAGTTTGGTGCCATTCAAAAACCCAGGGTAGGGGAGTTTGGTGCCATTCAAAAACCCAGGGTAGGGGAGTTTGGTGCCATTCAAAAACCCAGGGCAGGGGAGTTTGGTGCCATTCAAAAACCCAGGGCAGGGGAGTTTGGTGCCATTCAAAAACCCAGGGCAGGGGAGTTTGGTGCCATTCAAAAACCCAGGGTAGGGGAGTTTGGTGCCATTCAAAAACCCAGGGTAGGGGAGTTTGGTGCCATTCAAAAACCCAGGGTAGGGGAGTTTGGTGCCATTCAAAAACCCAAGGTACCGGAGTTTGGTGCCATTCAAAAACCCAGGGTAGGGGAGTTTGGTGCCATTCAAAAACCCAGGGTAGGGGAAAATTGGTGCCATTCAAAAACCCAGGGTACCGTAGTTTGGTGCCATTCAAAAACCCAGGGTAGGGGAGTTTGGTGCCATTCAAAAACCCAGGGTAGGGGAGTTTGGTGCCATTCAAAAACCCAGGGTAGGGGAGTTTGGTGCCATTCAAAAACCCAGGGTAGGGGAGTTTGGTGCCATTCAAAAACCCAGGGTAGGGGAGTTTGGTGCCATTCAAAAACCCAGGGTAGAGGAGTTTGGTGCCATTCAAAAACCCAGGGCAGGGGAGTTTGGTGCCATTCAAAAACCCAGGGCAGGGGAGTTTGGTGCCATTCAAAAACCCAGGGCAGGGGAGTTTGGTGCCATTCAAAAACCCAGGGCAGGGGAGTTTGGTGCCATTCAAAAACCCAGGGTAGGGGAGTTTGGTGCCATTCAAAAAACCCAGGGTAGGGGAGTTTGGTGCCATTCAAAAACCCAGGGTAGGGGAGTTTGGTGCCATTCAAAAACCCAAGGTACCGAGTTTGGTGCCATTCAAAAACCCAGGGTAGGGGAGTTTGGTGCCATTCAAAAACCCAGGGTAGGGGAGTTTGGTGCCATTCAAAAACCCAAGGTAGGGGAGTTTGGTGCCATTCAAAAACCCAGGGTAGGGGAGTTTGGTGCCATTCAAAAACCCAGGGTAGGGGAGTTTGGTGCCATTCAAAAACCCAGGGTAGGGGAGTTTGGTGCCATTCAAAAACCCAGGGTAGGGGAGTTTGGTGCCATTCAAAAACCCAGGGTAGGGGAGTTTGGTGCCATTCAAAAACCCAGGGTAGGGGAGTTTGGTGCCATTCAAAAACCCAGGGCAGGGGAGTTTGGTGCCATTCAAAAACCCAGGGTAGGGGAGTTTGGTGCCATTCAAAAACCCAGGGTACCGGAGTTTGGTGCCATTCAAAAACCCAGGGTAGGGGAGTTTGGTGCCATTCAAAAACCCAGGGTAGGGGAGTTTGGTGCCATTCAAAAACCCAAGGTACCGGAGTTTGGTGCCATTCAAAAACCCAGGGTAGGGGAGTTTGGTGCCATTCAAAAACCCAGGGTAGGGGAAATTGGTGCCATTCAAAAACCCAGGGTACCGTAGTTTGGTGCCATTCAAAAACCCAGGGTACCGTAGTTTGGTGCCATTCAAAAACCCAGGGTAGGGGAGTTTGGTGCCATTCAAAAACCCAGGGTAGGGGAGTTTGGTGCCATTCAAAAACCCAGGGTACCGTAGTTTGGTGCCATTCAAAAACCCAGGGTACCGTAGTTTGGTGCCATTCAAAAACCCAGGGTACCGTAGTTTGGTGGCATTCAAAAACCCAGGGTACCGTAGTTTGGTGGCATTCAAAAACCCAGGGTACCGTAGTTTGGTGCCATTCAAAAACCCAGGGTACCATAGTTTGGTGCCATTCAAAAACCCAGGGTACCGTAATTTGGTGCACTGTGTGCAGTTTTAAAGAGTGACATATTAGATATCTATTTACTTGGCATAACATCTTTTATGTTTTAACAAAAAAAAAATGGGCATTATATTGTGTTTGTGTTCACTAAAACTCATTAAAGTGTATTTTTTCCTGGAAATCTGCATTTGATAAACTTCTGCGCAAATATCGTATAACATAAAAAAAATTGCAACAACCATTTTAATCTCCAGGGTCCTGCTTAAAAATATACGTGTTTGGGTGGATTATAAGTAGTTTTCCAGCAAACAAAATGCAGATTTTTGCAGGTGTGACAGAAATGTCAGAATTGGCCCAGACTGGAACTGGTTAAAGTGGAGCCAGTCCCGCTGATATACTCCATCCCTCGAGCTGGAAACTGAGTTGCAAGGGTTTTTTGGGGGAGAGATGGGGAGCGAGTACCAATTTTTTTTTTTGAAGTGGTACCTGCTCCCACTTCTGTAATCCTCGTCCCTTGTCCTGCTCCCTCCCCTGCCCCAGCCTCTAGGGACACGTCACACATCCCCCCAGAGGCTGCAGGATCATTCAAAAAGCACCGAAGCAAGCTCCTGAATGCGCAGTGGATGGCAGCACCAGGGACCTGCAGCAGTAAGAAGAACTGGCTACGGGAGGACAGTGCTGGACACCAGACATTGACATCTACCTGATTCTTAATAAAAGTCAGCAGCTACAGTATTTGTGGAAATAATATCAGTGTGTTGTTGCACCCCCTAGTGGAGGTAAGGCAGGCCATAGATTATGCGATTTTCTTTCTTTCCACCACGGGTTGCAGGAAAGAAAATGGCTCAATTGATGTTGATGGGGGAATACCTCCCACAGAGCGAATGTGTTTTCCCGTCTGGGGGCACGGGAAACGGTCACTGGCAGTAGCTATAGCCGCTGGCAATAACTGCATGTAAAAATCCGACATGCTGGTTGTAACCAAGTCAATCAGCCGGCCCATACATGGCTCGAATGTCAGACGGCCCCTGCTGAACAGGCCAAGATTCGAATCATCTACAGCCGGCTTTAGAGTGACACTAAACTGTGGTCTAAAAAAAAAAAATGTCAATTCAAGCATGCATTCTTATAGTCATGGCCAAAAATACTGGCACCCCTGCATTTCTGTCAGATGATTCACCACTTCACCCCCAGAAAATTATTGCAATTACAAATGTTTAGGCATTCTCATGTTTATTTCTTTTGTTTGTATTGGTATGCATTAAAGTAATAAACCCCTACTACCTGTTACCCTCCCCCTGCCCACCTCTACCCCTTGTCCCTAAGCGCTTAACTGAGTCTTGAGACGGATCCAGCGCCATCCCGGATGCAGCCCCGCTCTCCTCTCTTCCTTATCTCTTAGGAGACACGGAGAGCAGTGTGAGCCATAGGCTCCTGCTACTGTCAGTCAAACTCCTGGGGGTGGGAGCTGGAGGGGGAGATGGGGGTGGATATGGCTTGCCAAAGCTGTGTGTCTATGGATGCACACAGTCCAGCTTGGGAGCTCGGCAGTATGGGTGCCCCCTTAGCATCTGGTTTGCTGAGGGGACACTTGGAAAGAAAAGGAACAAATGGCAAAGGCAGGGAAGGCAAGGTAAAGGACCACAATACCGATCCACACAGCAAGAAAGTATAAATACTTTGTTAGGGATCTATTTACTCAACCTCATTCACTATATTTTACCAAAAAATTGGCAATTATACTGTGTTTGTGCGCACTAAAATAGACACTACCACCATTATAATCTGCAGGG